ACGCAATATGAATGACGTTCTTACCCCTCCTCCCCCCAACCCCCCCCCCCACTTGTCCAGGAAAAGTGCGGAAAACACCGAAACCAAGCGGCAATCTACGGCCCGTGACCCAACTACCCGCCTTCAAGGGGAAGGGAACGGGTAGGTCCCGGGTAGGCTAGAACCAAGTGCCGCAGAACAGGTTTCCATGCAAATGGTACGCGTACGTCGCAAAGCTTAGGGCCTAGGGTATCAAGAGTTAGTAAGGTGTGGGGAGCGCTCATTAAATGGTGATTGCTGCAAGCAGGCCCACATTCACCCGTGAACGCATGAACACGAAGCACTCCGGCGGCAACAAGAGCTGACACAAACAGCCTCGACTTCGTGGACCCTAAAAGGCAAAGAGAAGCGTTACCAACAGTCATTCCCCCAACAGCTAAACCCTAAACCCTAAACCCTAAACCCTAGACCCTGGACCCTGGACCCTAGACCCTACACCTTAATGAAGCCGAAGTGCGATAATAGCGGTCTTTGAAGCCGGTGGGAAACTTGTCAGCACAAGATGGCGGTATATTCTCACGAACCTCGTCCTGGCCGGAGAAAGACTTAGGATCTTGGGATTTTCCCCCTTATACTAACAGTCCTTGATAGGGATTTTCAATAGGGGGTACTATGATCCACTAGGGACCGTTAGTAGGGGGAACATCCCAATTAGGAATTGTTGTCTGCTTTCGCTCCTTTACTGCTGCTGGTACTGCTGTACTTCCTACTGCGACTACGACGACGACGCCGACGAGCAGAAACAAAGCACAGATGCCACGACTCGATCATCTTAACGCCACCTTGTCTTGCAGAAGCCAACCACATAACCTCAAGAGGTTCCAGACGGTAGCTACTAGGTACTTCCGGCAGCTTCACCGACGACGACCACAAAGCATCATGCTCACTCGGTTCCATAGGACATCTTGCACTTTGGGGGAGACAGGAGGGGGGGGGCAACAGCAACAGCAACAGCGGCTACAGCAACAGCGGCTACAGCAACAACGGCTACAGCAACAGCGGCTACAGCAACACCTGCTACAGCAACACCAGTAACACCAGCAACAGCCACAGCAGCACCACCACCAGCAGTAGTAGCAACAGCAACAGAGCGACGCAGAAAACCGATCTCAAGACCACCAAACACCAACGCAACCCGACCCCAAAGGTTTGGGATTTAGAGTTCATGTAGTTTTAGGAAGGATCTGAACCCTGACTTGAAAGAGCTTGAAGTGGGCGCAGAACCCGCAGGGATCACTGGGAAGGGCACTCCTCCAATTGGCAGTAGCATCTCCTTCCAGACAGTTCCTCGAGACAGCTTGGGGGGACTCCACCATTCACAGGTGGGTTTCGGGTTTAGGGTTTAGGGTTTAGGGTTTAGGGCTTAGGGCTTAGGGTTTAGGGTTTAGGTTTTAGGGTTTAGAGTTTTAGGGTCCACCATCAACCCTGCAAGCCCCTGCGCGGCCCCCATGCTGTGCCGACATGCTTTGGGGCTTGAGTTCGTTCCGCGGTTTACTCCAACCCACGAGGATCCCGTGATTTCTGCACGCTCGACCTGTCGAGGTCTCAGAGCACTAAGGAGACGTGCTCAAAACCGGAAGTCTGGCGAGGCGGGTTTCGGGTTTGGGGTTTGGGGTTTGGGGGTTGGGGTTTGGGGTTTGGGGTTTGGGGTTTGGGGTTTGGGGTTTGGGGTTTGGGGTTTGGGGTTTGGGGTTTGGGGTTTGGGGTTTGGGGTTTGGGGTTTGGGGTTTTGCGGTTTTGGTTTTGGGTTTTGGTGTGTGTCCCCGAGCCATCACAAAAACCGTACATGCCCTGCATCCACGTAAGTGCTGGTGTTATAGGGTTCTTAAGGGACGGGGGTTTAAGGAGGGGTATGTAACCCAAGGTCTCCTAATACTCGCTACTACTCCCTATGGCTCCCGAAGCTTCCCGAAGGTTCCCATGAACCCCCTCCATTAAGAACTCTATGATGGTGGGGCAGTGGAAAGTCTAACCCTGAATGCCCCAAAAACGCTGGACAAATGAATTCACTGCGCCTCGCCCCGCACCCTCCTAAACCCTACACCCAAAACCTAAACCCCCCCCCCCCCCCCCCCCCCCCCCAAAAAAAAAAAAAGCGCCCAGGCGCATCAGGATCAAACTTCCGCCGATCCTCGGCGTACCTCTGCGCACGAGCGGCAGTCTTGGGCTTCGGGTAGGGTTTAGGGTTTTAGGGTTTTAGGGTTTTAGGGTTTTAGGGTTTTAGGGTTTTAGGGTTTTAGGGTTTTAGGGTTTTAGGGTTTTAGGGTTTTAGGGTTTTAGGGTTTTAGGTTTTTAGGGTTTTAGGGTTTTAGGGTTTTAGGGTTTTAGGGTTTTAGGGTTTTAGGGTTTTGGGGTTTTGGGGTTTTAGGGTTTTAGGGTTTTAGGGTTTTGAGTTTTAGGGCTTTAGGGTTTTAGGGTTTTAGGGTTTTAGGGTTTTAGGGTTTTAGGGTTTTAGGGTTCTAGGGTTTTAGGGCTTCGGGGCTTTTTTGGGGGCTGAACGTGCTGTTCAAGGCGACTAGGTTCTGGGGTTTCGGGTTCAGGGTCTAGGGTTTAGAGTTTGAGGTCCCTTTAAGGGGGTTCTGAGGCGATTTTGGGGGGGAATCTTCAGCCCAGTCTAGGGCTGTGGTTTCCACGGAAGCTGTTTGGGTCCCTGCCGGGCTGCGTCTAAACCAGAGAAGACTTGAGCCCATTACGTCAAACCCTAAACCCTAAACCCTAAACCCTAAACCCTAAACCCTAAACCCTAAACCCTAAACCCTAAACCCTAAGTTGGAGAGGGGCTTTGGGATTTAGGGTTGCGCCGGAAACTCTCTCACCTGCACGTCGTACCCGCCTGCGAAGCATTCTCGGATGTAGCGTGATGTATCTTGCCAGACTTCCCGAGATGCAACCGCATCCGCAATACCCTTAAGCACAGGCCCCAAATTCTAAACCCTAAACCCTAAACCCTAAACCCTCAGCCCTGAACCTCGGCGCTTCGCCACCTCTACAACGGCAGGGGCCCGGGCTTGCTGGATCGGCAGCGGCTGCTCTGTCCGCTCAGCACCGTGCCACGCGGGCACTTGCACTTCCTCCACAAGCTACAGTACTTGGGGGACGAGGGCGGACTAGGGTGGTTGGAGACTGTCAGGATCGCTGTAAAGCTTTTCGGGCTGGAGCGGCTGGAGCTTTGACTGGCTGGAGGTGGGCGAAATTCAGGGGTGTGGGCTGGCTGCCTCTCACGTGGGGTTGCCGGTTAGAGGCTGGTATGTTTTTCGGCGTAGGTTTCCGCGCTATCGTTTCCTGCAGAGGACGAATGTCTGGACAAGCCTGCAGTGGCTCCAGCTACGCTTTAAACGCGGCCTCTAAACGCACCTTCTAGAATAAGGGTTTGCGAAATGGACTTCCAAGCGTGAATGGTTGCCAGAAACTGATCAAGACAAAAGAAAGGCCTTCATAATTCATAAGCCCCCAAACTCAGACCCGCTTGCCCGAAACAGCATGATTTGTCCGGCGGCCTTCTGAGGCCTAGCTGAATCCTCCGAATCTAGGGCATATCAAGCAACATCATCTAGGCTTTCAGTCAAGGGCTTTCAGGGTCTGCGCAAGACCTTTGAAAGCTTCTCCTGCCGTCCTGCCGGAGAAGGCGATGGTCAGCCAGAACGAGTGCTTCCGCAGCACGGCACCGGGAACTGCGTCGAAGCAATCTTCCTTGAGGTTTTGCGGGCGTCGAGGGATGCTGGGTGGCCCCGCCAGTAAAGTGCTCCGACCCACGATCTTCCGGGGGAGGCGAGCCTAGGCCTCTAAGGCCCAAGAAGACCCTAAGGTTCAGGGGCTTCAGAGGAACACATTTTGGGGGGGCGGGGGAATTGCAAAACGCGTTCGCGGTTGGGGTTGAGGGTCCATAGTTGTAGGGCAGGGGGTTGTCCTCAAGGAGGTGTGGAGAAACAGGCCGAAGCCCCGCTCGCTCGCTCTCTCTCTCTCTCTCTCTCCCAGATTGTGTTCGGCTTTGAAGTTGTGGGTTGGGGGAGAGGGGGGGGGGTTATGAGAACTCGGCTCGGGTGTTGAGCCCGTTCTAGTTATTAGCAAACGGGCAGAAGGGAAGCAATAGCTCGGCTTGCTTCGACGAACATCGACCGAGCCTCGAAACGAAAGCCCCTAAGCCCTATAGACTCTAAACCCTAAACCCTAAACCCTAAACCCTGAAAGCTTCGGGTCTGACGCGTGCACCCTGAAGCCCCTCCTTGGCGGTATCGGGTTCAGGCCTCGGCCTGCTTCGGGAGTTGAGGGTTGAAGAGTTTAGGGTTTAGGGTTTAGGGTTTAGGGTTTGGGGTTTAGGGTTTAGGGTTTAGGGGTTAGGGCTTAGGGAGTTGAGGGTTTAAGGGTTTAAGGGCTTAAGGGTTTTCTTAGGGAGTTGAGGGTTTAAGGGTTTAAGGGCTGAAGGGTTTTCTTAGGGAGTTGAGGGTTTAAGAGTTTAAGGGCCTAAGGGTTTTCTTAGGGAGTTGAGGGTTTAAGGGTTTAAGGGCTTAAGGGTTTTCTTAGGGAGTTGAGGGTTTAAGGGTTTAAGGGCTTAAGGGTTTTCTTAGGGAGTTGAGGGAGTTGAGGGAGTTGAGGCTTTAAGAGTTAAAAGGGTTTAAGGGTTTAAGGATAGGGCTTAAGGGTGTAAGGGTTTAAGGGTTTAGGGGTTTGGCTTAAGGGTTTAAGGGCTTAAGGCTTTAAGGGTTTAAGGGCTTAAGGGTTTAAGGGCTTAAGGCTTTAAGGGCTTAAGGCTTTAAGGGTTTAAGGGTTTAAGAGCTTAACTTGTTCAAGGGCTCAAGGGTTCAAGGGTAGAAGGGTTTAAGGGTTTAAGGGTTTTAGGGGTTTAAGGGTTTAAGGGTTCAAGGGTTTAAGGGCTTAAGGCTTTAAGGGTTTAAGGGCTTCGGGCTTAGGGGTTCTATGTGGCTTCGGGTTTGGGGTTTAGGGTTTAGGGTTTAGGGTTTAGGGTTTAGGGTTTAGGGTTTAGGGTTTAGGGTTTAGGGTTTAGGGTTTAGGGTTTAGGGTTTAGGGTTTAGGGTTTAGGGTTTAGGGTTTAGGGTTTAGGGTTTTGGGGCCTGCCTCCTGTCCTTCAGGCCTCTCCTCTTTGCTTCCAAGAGTCGTCCGTTATCTGCGAGCCTGGCAGTGCAGGCAACGTGGGCGCTAGGAAAATAACAGAACGCAGACGTGAGCCATGTGAAGTCGCGCAGTCAGAAATCCCCATCCGAACCCTAGCAAGAGGCTACCAAGGTTCAAGGTTCAAGGCGTAGGGTCTGGGGTTTGGGGCATAGGATGCCGTGCACTCTCTGGCAAGGATGGTGGCAGAGCTACGACTCGGATCGCGTGGGTCGGATCGCGCTGGGCGAGAGCTCGCACGGGGGCGTGGGAACCGGATCATCTCAGACCACCCTAAACCCTGAACCCTAAACCCTAAACCCTAAACCCTGACCCATGGTGGAAAGCCCCGTGGGTCATTTTTACTCTTGGCTTTCCTCATTGCAGTTCCTGGAGCTTCCAGACGTTGATAGCTCTCCCTGCTTGCTCCCCAAACCTTAAGCCCAACCCAAACCAGAAACCTCGAATTGTAGAGGGGTTTGGGGTTTGGGGTTTGGGGTTTAGGGTTTAGGGTTTAGGGTTTAGGGTTTAGGGTTTAGGGTTTAGGGTTTAGGGTTTAGGGTTTAGACAAGCCCAGATCCTAAACCCCTGAACCAAAAGTCCGATTACGCTGCCAGTGTAGACCCCAGACAGCGAGAGACCATGCGAACCCAGCAGTCCTTAAGCGATGACAGTTGATTTGACAGTCTCACATCTTCGTGAGTCACAGAATCCAAAAGCGATGACAACCCTAAACCCCAAACCGTGGTCCGCAGGCGGGCGCTCTGGCCGCGCACGCCGTGCGGGCCAGTCGATCTGGCCCATTAGCACTCCTTATATAGGTGTTGACACACACACGCACACAAAGAGAGAGAGTTTAGGGTTTAGGGTTGAGGGTTGAGGGTTGAGGGTTGAGGGTTGAGGGTTTAGGGTTTAGGGTTTAGGGTTCAGGGTTCAGGGTTTAGGGTTTAGGGTTTAGGGTTTAGGGTTTAGGGCAGAGTTCACACAGTTTGGGGAAAAAACTCCCGACCGCAAATCCCAGGGTCCGACATGCCTTCTCAGGCGACTACGGCGGGGTGGGGGCTCTGGGCTTAGGATTTGGGATGTGGAGCTTAGGGCTGACGGCTTGGGAATTGTCCCCCTTAAACCCTAAACACTAAACCCTAAACCCTAAACCCTAAACCCCAAAAACCCTAAACCCTAAGCCCTAAACCCTAAACCCTAAACCCTAGTGAGGACTGTTAGCATAAGGGAGAACAGCCCAATTGACGGCTTGCGCTGGACGCCTTGCTGCAGGACGCTGGTGGCTGCAGGCCCGAGTGTGGCGTTGGCTTCGGCGATCGGCGGGTCATCCGAGACTTCCGAGCTGTTGCCCTCCGTGACCTTTCTGGCAGGGTTTGGGGTTTGGGGTTTCGGGTTTCGGGTTTAGGGTTTAGGGTTGAGGGTTGAGGGTTTAGGGTTTAGGGTTTATGTAGGGTTTAGGGCAGGATGACTCACTGGTTCCTTTCGGGCTCTAGTACTTGCATTAGGGCCTTGCGGAGAAACCCACATGCTCCATACTGCAATGAGGTTTGAGGCAAGCACAGCAAAAAAAAAAATCGCCTAGGCTTTGGCCGTGGGGGCGTCAGAGGTTCCCATAGGTTCCCCTAACCCCCAGAGGTTCCCCACCTCGAATCTGCTGATTCAGGCACCCCACAACATTTTGCCATTAAGCCTTTTTTTGACGAGCAGCGTTGCTACGGAGTCCATGAATGCTATCGGCATGGCTCCTGAACACCTTCCCTCGAGTCCCGCGAAGGTAAACCCCTTTAACACTTGACCTCACATCCGTATGTCCTAAGGCCCACTTTGGTCGCGGCCTCTAGCTCGAATGGCGGAAAGATCCGAAACAAGTTGGCAATGCTGATCCTGGCTAGGGACTTGTCTGGGTGGGTGATGGGTTGTGGATTGTGTGTATACATTGAACAAGGTTCCTCCACCTATCATGACGATGATGGTCATCAAGCAACTTGGCAGGTGCCAGGGGACTCGAAGCCAGGGTGCGCTTGAAGCCGTGAAAGGACTTGGGTTTAGGATTCTGGGATACTGCGGGTACTGTGGGTGGTTGCGGCTACGGCATGCTCCCGACTTTGTAAACTCCAGCAACCTAAACACGACACCCAATGCGAAGCCTCAGAGAGATTCTGAACGTTCGGAATCACCAGTGGCCCTGTACCCCAAATCCCGACAGCCGAAATCCTGCATCATAAGCCCGTAGAGTATCAGGAGGAATATATAAACCCCAAAGCATCGAGACCACATGAGTGAACGCCCTGTAACCGGGAAGTTTCAGGATTTTCGAGGCTGAGGTTTGCGAACATGCCAGACGCGACCTAACGGGCCTTGCGCAAGCTTGAGTTCAAGCTCAGGGGATTTACGAACCCAATCTTTTAAGGAGTGGGTGGGCAGGGTAGGCACCTCAGCTGATCCAGCCCGACATTTTCGGGCATCTCGTCTCGATCCTTCAGGGACCAAATTCCTAAACCCAAAAACCCCAAAACCCCAAAACCCTGCCATCAGAGCCAGTGTCCTTTCTTTCTTTCAGGGCCACACAAACAAATTTCGTGTCGAGCCTTATTCATTCGGCCACCAAGAACGACCAGAAGAACTCCGAATCCTCAAGGATATAACTTCAGCCACAGCCAAGGATGTCAGTGGTGTAGGGTTCAGGGTAGCCGGGAAGAAGTTGAAGACAAAATATTGGGGCACTTCTCTACAATAGGCTCATCGTTTTTTTTTCTTTTTTTTTTGGGGGGGGGGTCCTGTTTAGAAGGTGCCGTATTATATACAAAAAACATGTACATATACATGTAGAGAGAGAGAGAGACCCAAAAAAAGGACCCTACATTAGAGAACCACCCACCCCCGCCCATTGGGGTGCCTGCATTTGAGTTCCACCTCCAGGCCTGCGGGTCGACGGGCTCCAGGTCCGGGCTCCAGAACGTGCCGTTTCCCACCTGCGGGGATCTCATGAGGTCTGTTTAGGGTTTAGGGTTTAGGGCTTAGGGCTTTGGGGTTTGGGGTTTAGGGTTTGTGGTTTTCGGGGGGCAAATGGGCCAAGTCGCGGGTCCCCCTTAGCCTTAGACCACGCTCCTCCCCCCCCCAAGTCGACTTGGCTAGTAAGTCTCCTGCTCCTTTGAGCATGGCCACACTAGGACCAGCGATGCGGTCATTGGAACCTCTGCCCTAAACCGGCTGCCTCGACGATGACAGGCGCAACTGCCTCCGACCGCTCGAACTTCGAGGTTCCGTTTCGGTTCTCCGTCTCGAAGTAGACATCTTCGTAGCCTTAAGAGGGCTGTCGAGTTCGGCTTCGGGACAGAATGGCAGGCTTTGGGGGCCTATCATTATTTTATTGTTATTACTATTGTTAGTAGTAGTAGTAGTAGTAGTAGTAGTAGTAGTAGTAGTAGTAGTAGGAGGAGTAGTAGCAGGAGGAGTAGCAGGAGGAGTAGGAGTAGGAGTAGGAGTAGGAGTAGGAGTAGGAGTAGGAGTAGGAGTAGGAGTAGGAGTAGGAGTAGGAGTAGGAGTAGGAGTAGGAGTAGGAGTAGGAGTAGTAGTAGTAGTAGTAGTAGTAGTAGTAGTAGTAGTAGTAGTAGTACTTTCATTATCATCATCATGATTAGTATGATTACTAGTATGAGTATTATGATTATCCTTATTATTGATAGTATTCTCATTATTCTCATTAGTATGATTATCATTATCATTATTGTCATTATTGTCATGATTATCATTATCATCATTATTATCATTATTATCATTATTATCATTATCATCATTATCATCATTATCATCATTATCATCATTATTATCATTATTATCACTATTATCATTTTTATCATTCGTATCATTCTTATCATTCTTATCATTATTATCATTCTTATCATTATTATCATTCTTATCACTATTATCATTATTATCATTATTATCATTATTATCATTATTACCATTATTATCATTATTATCATTATTACCATTATTATCATTATTATCAATATTATCATTATTATCATTATTAGTATGAATATAATTAGTAGTATCATTATCATTATTAAAAATTCTGAGCTCTGAGCCCTGCTTTCTAGATGCCCCTGGGGTCTTGCGGGCCATGTGCCGGGCGCCCTTGGCAAGCGCAAAAGACCGTCAGACTTCCACAGGGGTTTAGGGTTTAGGGTTTAGGGTTTAGGGTTTAGGGTTTAGGGTTTAGGGTTTAGGGTTTAGGGTTTAGGGTTTAGGGTTTAGGGTTTAGGGTTTAGGGTTTAGGACATGCTGACAACGCGCAAAGGTTTGAAAGGGTCTTGAAATGCTAGGGTCGTCAGCGATTGAGCTTGTGGCTGAGGAGTTGGGCCTTAGGGTTGTCAGCTGAAGACTTATGCCAATGGAAGTTCAAAAGCTGAGCGGGGTGGCCGGCATCAGACACATCGATGTCGCAAACCACCCCCGCTGCCGTGGAGTAACCTGAGCACGGGCAGAAAGCGCCCAAGAACACCTCGAGCAGCCCAAAAACCTAGACCCTAGCCCAAAATGGATGAACCCGAGGCTATGAGATAGCACAGTCCGACCTACAGACAGGCACAGCTCTATCTGCACTTTATGGGGCAGTAACATGGCATGCTAGAGAAGTACCATGGACCCAATCTGGCTCCTTGTGAGAAACAGCGGGGAGTAAGACCGCTCCGGTGGCATACCCCCTAAACCCTAAACCCTAAACCCTAAACCCTAAACCCCGAACCTACCCTGCACCGAGGCCAAGCGGCACGCAACATCCGAAGCGGGCGGTGTCCGAGTCGGGGGCAGGCTCGCAACTGTCAGGTTGCAGAGCCTTACTTGGAGGTTCAGGGTACTTATAACCCAATTATAAGTGCAGCTTTCGCCCACTTACCCTGATAGGGGTATAGTTGGGTTATGAGTACAGTGATTCTTGGGTTAGTCAGTACTAAGAACCTCCAGGTACGGCTTAAGGTTCAAGGTTCAGGGTGGATCGGCGAGGGTTTTCACCCCAGACCCTTGAAGGGAAGATGCTGGCAGGTTCTCATCTTCGCTGTTCCACCGAAGACCTTAACAGCCCCACAGTTCAGGGTTTAGGGCGCTTGAAAAGGGCTCAAGGCTGACTGGGGGTTTATAGATTTTTGCACCAGAAGGCCAGAATGTAACGCTTCTTCTATCTGTTATATATCTTGCTCCTGTGTTTAATAGATAGTAGAAGCGTGACATTGGTCAGTAGATGCCGAGCCACTCCATGCAGTTCACCATGAAGTCGGTGCGCCCATCCAAGCCGATGAACTCCATGTAGTCTGGCTGCTGCTCTCTTTAGGGCTAAACACTAACCCCTAAACCCTAAACCCTAAACCCTAAACCCTACACCCTGCTTCTCTCTTTGGGGTTCGGGGTGGTTCCCGGATGTCACCGGAGCTTGGGAGGCTGGGGGAGATTCGGGAGGTCGCGGCAGAGCCCAAAAATCTGCCCGGCGGTGCTTTGCGTAGTGTATATGTCTAAGCGATGTACCCCTAAACCCTAACCCTAATTGCTAAACCCTAAACCCTAAACCCTAAACCCTAAACCCTCAACCCTAAACCCTAAACCCTAAACCCTAAACCCTAACCCGCAAACCCGAAACCAGGTAGACAAGCCGCTGGCCAGGGAATCGAAGGTGGTGTGGAGTGCTCCCTGGAGTTCACCGAAGCCTGGGAATTTTTCTGGGGGAAGGGGGGGGGGGGGGTTTAGGGTTTAGGGTTTTGGGTTTAGGGTTTAGGGTTTAGGGTTTAGGGTTTAGAGTTTAGGGTTCAGGGTTTAGGGTTTAAGGTCTAGGGGACTTAGCAACTCGGCAAAGACACTGCAACAAGGCCACTCACACCAACAACGGTTCCAAGGCCAGGAAACTGAACCTCATGTCCCAAAGCTGGGGGGAGATGCCTCAACCCGGAAGCCTAAACCCTAAACCCTAAACCCGAAACCCTAAACCCTAAACCGGAAGCCCTGTTTCAAAGCCAGGCATCTTAGGACATCGATCTTGCCCGTCGCGCCACGCCGGAAAGCTTTGCCGCTGTTGGAGAGCCTGGTTTAGGGTTTAGGGTTTGGGGTTTAGGGTTTAGGGTTTAGGGTTTAGGGTTTAGGGTTTAGGGTTTAGGGTTTAGGGTTCAGGGTTTAGGGTTTAGGGTTTAGGGTTTAGGGTTTAGGGTTTAGGGTTTAGGGTTTAGGGTTTAGGGTTTAGGGTTTAGGGTTTAGGGTTTAGGGTTTAGGGTTTAGGGTGTCCAGCACCCACTTATTAGAGTTGTGACCCACTTATAAGCCCCTGAAGTAACCGAATGGGGTTGGAAGTGGGTTATCAGTACAGTAATAATTGGGTTACTAAGTACCATGAACCTCCAAGTAAGATACTTCCCGATAGGACCTTGTTTTTGGGGGCGGGGGGGGGGGGGGGGGGGTTGGGGGTTCGACTAGCACCTGCATTTTCCTACCACTACGACATGGGCCGTGTGGCGGATGTCCTTTGATCTAGGAAGATGCTCATCCCTCTGCGTCATGCAGGAGCAAGCTTCGTGCATGCTGCAGGCCCTAATCCTACGCAGGAAGCCGCTTAAAGCCCTCTGGAAACCCAAAGCACCCAAAAATTCCGGATTTCTCCAGAAAACAGCTCGCAAGTCTCGTCGACGATGTGTTGGTGACACAAGGGCAGCGGATGCGAGGCCTCCCACAGCCGAGATTGAATTTTCTTTCAGGGTTTGCGGAAGTTGAGACTGGTTTGTGTATGTTGGGCTGCTCTAATTGCTTAAGAACCGCAAAGAAGTAAAGCATGTTCTCCCTGTAAGGGTAATATAGGGGTTTTTGTGATAAATTTTTGGGGCGTGTTTAAGAACATGGTAGTTCAAGCAGGAGCATGGAATGTCGGCAGTCTGCAGCTCTTCGGTCGTTTCTTGGGCTTGTGAGGCCAGAGGAACTGGCCTCACGTGCCTGACATTGCTTTCACGACACCCCGGAAGACACGGAAGAGCTCTGCAACCAAACCAAACCTTAAAATCATTCCTCCCTCCCTCCTGTGACAATTCAATCCCCACTAGCCTGCAGCTGACTTAGCCGCGCCGACCGCGCTGGCAGCAGGCACGTCCAGGCCGCCAGCAACAAGCCGAGCATGGGTTCAGGGTTTAGGGGTTTTTGGGGTTTGGGGTTTAGGGTTTAGGGTTGAGGGTTTAGGGTTTAGGGTTTAGGGTTTAGGGTTTAGGGTTTAGGGTTTTTTAGGGTTTAGGGTTTAGGGTCTGGGATCAGGGTTTAGGGTTCAGGTTAAGGTTTGCAAGGCGGTGCAAACTCAGATGCCGGGATGTGTTCCAGAGTTAAGATCCCGCAGCTGAATACTAGAAGAAGGCCTGATCGGAGGCCTTTGAAGGCTTAGGCAATTCAGGTTTTCATATATTGGTTTCTGACATTTGGGGCACCTTTGAGGGGGGTTCTTACTGCAGGGGGATCCTACTATTTGGCGATCTAGTAGACCCTAAACCTTAAACCCTAAACCCTAAACCCTATGTTCGTAAACCCAACATATGCCCTGTGCTTTGATGCTTTCAGAGAATCGGAGAGGGATTTAGCAAACCTGCGAGAGCCGGCTGCAGCGCTTCGGCGTTGAGGGCAGGTGGTTTCGGGTTTGGGGTTTCGGGTTTAGGGTTTAGGGTTTAGGGATTAGGGTTTAGGGTTTAGGGTTTAGGGTTTAGGGTTTAGGGTTTAGGGTTTAGGGCAGGGTTTGGGGTTTTGCGGTACGAGCTGAGTGGGCGGGCATTTGGTTTCAGTTCAGGAGCCTTTTTGGCTTGTGGGAGTTTGGGCGCTTGAAGAGGGGAGCGGTGAGGGGAGGCGGGAGGTGTGAGGAGGGTGAGGGGAGGGGTGTGGGGTGCAAAGGGGGGGGGGGGGGGGGGGGGGGGGGGGGGCCACTTCATTCTTGAGATGGTGTAAAATCTACACCCTAAGCACCTAAAACGACCGGATGGCCCGAAGTAACCTTACAAGTCCAGGCCTAAAAGCCCAAAAAGCGTGAACAACTTGGCCTCGGGCGCTTTTCAATTCAACACAAATGACTTGCATCTGTCTTAAATGGTCCGGAGACTTAGAGGTTCACAATTCCTGAACAGTTGCGATACTTCCCCTTGACCTAACGGTCCTTAAATGGGATTCTTACAAGGGTGCTACAATCCCTACTAAGGACTGCTCGCAGAAGGGGGAACTTCCCAACCTAGACGCCTTGACCCTTCAGCTCCCCAGGCCGAAGCCCAAAACCGGCGGCCAAGCGTCATCGGAGGTCGCCCGGAGTTTCAGCGTCCTTGGAACCCTAAACCCTAAACCCTAAACCCTAAACCCTAAACCCTAAACCCTAAACCCTAAACCCTAAACCCTAAACCCTAAGGGCTGGCAAGAAAAGATGATCAGGCCGCAAGCGGCTACCCGATACTCAGAGGTTCACCCTGACCCTGCCAGTTTGCAACGAAGCGCTTCGGCCTCGACTTGCAAGCATGTCAAACACCCTCCAGTCTTCTGAGGCCGCTTCGCTGACTTGAGTGAACCCTAAACCCTAAACCCTAAACCCTAAACCCTAAACCCTAAACCCTAAACCCTAAACCCTACACAGGGGAGAAGGGCAGCGGCAAAAAGCAGGCAGGCCAAGCAGCAAGCAAGGAAAGGCAGGGAGCCCACGAAACAGGAAACCAGAAACTAACAACCACAAAGTTGTTGTCCAAGCAACGTCGAGCTCTCTGGGTGTGGTGAGGACGGCAGAGCCTCAACGAAAGGGGGCGAGGAGGAATTCCGGCACTCCTCAGCCCCAAAACCTGAATCCCCCAACCAGCCAAAAGCGTCCAAGCCCTTCAAGTTCACGGTCCAATGGTCCTGGTGTTGGTGGTTCCCTGAACTCACAACCTGGCACTTTGGGCTCAACACCCGTCCCTGGCACCCTGCAACTTCTTCCTGAATGCGAAATGAACACTCTCCAAGGTCCCCGCCTTACTCCATCAGAATCCTACGCGCATGGCGTTTTGATTCTGACTGGGCGATCGAAATCTCCGACCCTCTACTTCCCCAAACCCCCTGGAAGACGTAGGGCTTGTTACTTGCGAGACCGGTGCGGTCGACCGGTTTAGGCTTCGGTAAGGTTTGGGGTTGAGGATTGACTTTGGGGCCCAGGGCATGGAAAGCATCTTCGAGTTTAGGGTTTCGGTTGTGGTTTAGGGCACTCTGAAACTGATCTCAGCATGGGACCGTAATTGCTTGGGAACTTGAAGACGCAGAAACCACGCGGCCTGGGATCTGGGGCTTTGACAAGCAACAGGCATTCTATCATAGGGTTCTTAAGGGAGAGGGTGTTCGAGGGGGGTATGTAACCCAAGGTCCCCCATGCTCCCCACTACTAAGGCTCCCTAAGGCTCCCTAAGCTTCCCGAAGGTTCCCTAGGTACCTGCCCCCCTTGAACCTCCCTCTCTTAAGAACCTTACAATTTAAAAAACCAAGGGTGCAAACAGTCGAAAGCCTAGTTCTGCCCATTTGACCTGACACCTAGACTCCAAAAACTTCTAAACCCTAAACCCTAAACCCTAAACCCTAAACCGCAAACACAAACGACTGGGGTCCCAGCT